AAGATATTTGCTGTAACATCTGATAAAAACTAAAACAAAAATGCTAAATTGCTTCCTTTCCTTTGTGGTAAGTATCCTTCTTTCTATCCACGACTTCAGTACAAGTCTAGCACACCTAACAGACCTGTGTTGGTTTTTCCTTAGGGAAATGAAGGATGAGGAGCTGGATCAAACTGCTGGGGCAAAAAGCACTGCAGGAGAGACCATCAACTACAGGAAGTGACAGGGGAAAAAGGGATTAAGAACAGACTCAGAAGCAGGAATTCTGAGCTAGAAGTATGCACTACTACGAGGAAAATGTAACCTCATCCTGGGTTATGTGGGATGGGCGGGGGGGGTGTCATTTAATTTTATTTAGATTTGGATATCAAAGGAAAGGACAATCCCCAAATCTAGGAGGCCTTGCAGAATTCAAAAACCTCCAACTGGTCCCCCGGCCTACCTCTTGCTCTACTCCAGCTATTCTCCCACACAGTAAGCACCCTGAGTGAGCTTTTGAAAACACAAATCTGATTATGTTATTTCCATAACACAGTCATGACTTTAAATACTTCAATGGGTCCTCACTGCTCAATGACATAAAGTCTGTAACCTGGTCAATTAGACCTTTTCTGCCTGGGCCTTTGCTACCACTCCAGCCTCACTGCTCACATTCTTCTTTTCTACACTGTATTTCTGAAACAAGTCAGGTTTCCTCTTGCCCCTCACAGTCTCACAGGCTCAGTCAACAAGAACATTCTTCATCATCCCCTCTTCCATCTCTTTGGGTCTGTGGCACCTTTACCTCATTGTCCTACTCGTTCAGGTCCAAGTGTATATATCATTTCTTCTGGAAGGTCTTCCCTGACACACCGGGTTTGAACTCTTGAACTCTGAACTTGTTCCATTAAAGCACTCATCACCATGAATTAATTTGTTCGCTTATCTGTTCATATTCTTTACCAGGCTGTAAACTCTGTGGGTGTCACAACCTTGACTCCTAGTTTACAATGGAGCCCTCTATACCTAAATCAGAGCTGTCAATAAATACTGGGCTGACTGACTGTCTGACCGAATAATGGAATCACTACAGTTTCAATCAATTATAAACATTTGAGTCTTCTTAAAACTCTGACAGTTCTATGAGGAAACCTTGTGTGGGAATGAAGGGGCATCCTAAGAAATTATGCGTTCTTATCTGGCTTTTATTCTGTGATTTTTGGGATTTTGTCAGGAGAACCACTTTATAACCAGCTTAGAAGACCTGGACGGAACCGGAAAGACAGGCACGAGGAACTCACTGTCATGGGACAAATGATCTACCTCCTTCAGCAGAGAGGAACCAGCAGGCCCAGAGGTGATGCTAGGTGGATTTCAACTACAGCTAACATTAACAGTCACTGGGATCAGCTAAATTAATACAATCTCCTGTTTAATACCATTAGTTTTTAGAGGACCAGAAAGAGCTCCTTCTCACTTAATCTTTATAGGCCTCATACTTGATCCAGCCACGTGTGTAGTTCTTAAGAAGGGACTCTGAGCTGCCATTGCCTCCCTGAGGGATCCTTCCCTGACCTCTTCTTTCACCTTACTCCCAGCTCATCACTCCTGGCTGGGCCAGAGTACCTTTGGTTCCATGCTCTTACCACATACATGTTTACCTGTATCTCCTCTCTGAGCTGGGAACTCTTTTAGAGCAGGGATTGAGTCTGTTTTCTCTCTGTCTCCCCAGAGCCCAGTATAGGATCTAGCACACAGTAAGTATCTGATAAATGTTTGACGATCTGAACCAAAACAACTGGCCTGAATTCTTCAAAATGCCAATGTCATATCATGGGAGGTAGATAAAAAAGGCTGGAAAACTGCTCTAGATAAAAGAAAACTAAAGAGACAGGATAACTAAATGCAGTGGATCACCCTTCACTGGATCTTGGATTAGGGAAAAAAAAAAAAAAGCTACAAAGGACATTACTGGGACAACTGGGGCAATCTGAATATGGACTATATATATCAGCTAGTAGATTTTATTAATGTTAAACTTCTCGAGAATGATAATAGTATTGTGTTCCTTGTTCTTAGGAGATACATACAAAAGTGTTTAAGGATCAAGTCTCTCATCTGCACTTAACTCTCAAATGGTTCAGTAAATAAACAAAAAATATACAGAAACGCATACATGTATATATACTTAGAGAAACATAAAGTAAATACTGCAAAAAGCTAAGTGGCAAATCTAGGTGAAGAGTACATGGCTGCTCACTGTACTACTGTACAACTTTTCTATAAGTTTGAAATTTTTCAAAATAAAACACTGGAGGAAAAAACTAAGTCTCAGCTTAAGTAAGGAAGCCTAATGGGATGTACATTTGGTGACTATTTGCTATATTGGAAATGTGTAGTCAGTTACCCTACTTAGAAATGGGTAGGGTAGTGTGGAGACAGGGCTGTAGGGAAGAAAAAGGGGGCTGGTAAGCTCCTGGATAAGAGAGGTGGTATCTTCAGATGTGGAACTAGCAGAAGCGTGTAGCCAGGCAGAAGGGTGGGAGTAATAAACACCAGATCCAAAGGGCAAAGCAAAAGAAAGCCCTTATGCACATCAAGCTCTTTGGCAGAGGTCTGAGTAACTAATCAGAAAACTGTAGGAAATGAAAAACGATCAGAGGTGGAGCAAAGGGTCAGTAAGGCAGGGAGGGAGGTAGGTAGGCAGGCAGAAAAGATAAGTGAGGGAGCACAGAAGAGTTAGAAATCTAGGCAAAGGTCTAGTTTGTCTGGGCAGAGTTAAAACATCTCAGGGAAGCAAACAGAAACTAGGGTGAGAGCAGCCAAGTTGCTGAGCACCCACTATGAGAAACAGAGGTTAGAGAGCATAGGAGAGCACAGAGAGCTGGCTGAATCTGTCTGAAAAAGAGGGAAGGGAAGGGGGGCAGCCAATGCGGAAGGTGATAACCCTGGTCTTTGTCTCTTCTTAGTTGGTGAGGGAAGAAGGAAGAGTGGCTAAAGCCTGCTTCCTCTTATCTGGTAGTTGAATCAGAGAGATGCAAACTGGAACAGAATTCCCAGGAAAGGTCACACGCCCCAATCCCAAACTATCATCACGACTGCAGGCCCATGATGTATACCCCTACCAGCCTCTGCATGCTGCTACCAGTGCGTTTCTCTTGGTTGTTAGCGGCGTTATTGCATTTAAGAATTCTGGGGCTTCCCTGGTGGCGCAGTGGTTAAGAATCCGCCTGCCAACTCAGGGGGACACAGGTTCGAGCCCTGGTCCGGGAAGATCCCACATGCCGCGGAGCAACTAAGTCCATGCGCCACAACTACTGAGCCTGCGCTGTAGAGCCCGCAAGCCCCAACTACTGAGCCCACGTGCCACAACTACTGAAGCCCACGTGCCTAGAGCCAGTGCTCCACAACAAGAGAAGCCACCACAATGAGAAGCCGCGCACGAAGCTAACAAACAGTAGCTCCCGCTTACCACAACTAGAGAAAGCCTGTGCGCAGCAACGAAGACCCAACACAGCCAAAAATAAATAAATAACTTAAAAAGAAAAAGAAATGCTTAAAAAAAAAAGAATTCTGAGTTCCTATTTCTTTGAGAAATCTCTCTTTAGACTAGCAGCTACACTCATGGACATGCTACCCTCTCTCGTGTATCCATTCTTCCAGAATCTCCGGTAGGGCTAATTTTAATTATTGAAGTGCAGCTCAGAGTTCCTGAATGCCAGCATCAGGGGATATGTAACAACCTGCCTTTGTGTGCACCAACTCCACCGTGCCCAGCCCAGACTCCCAGGGCAATATCCTAACTACAAGTAAGAATGCCCTTTTCTGTTCTCAGAGAGTGTGACGCTGAAAGAAAGCAATCTAGAGTAGGTCAGATGAGAAGTTCCCTCTGAAGAAAAGGGTCAGTGAGAGGGTCACAGATATGTCTGCAAGGACCAGATGGTGGGGACCCCAGAAAAAGCATCTGAAATTCAGGCATCTTTTTGCCCTGCCTGCAAGTCATATAAGCAATTCTCCTTTGGGTGCAGCAGTACAGATAGAGGCGATGGATGGGGGGTGATGGGTGAGCAGTCACTTCCCCAGCACATTCTTCCACAAGTGGCACTTTTATCAGGAGTGATTCTGACAATGATGAAAAGACAACAGGGAAGACAGTGTGGGAACAAGACTTGTGCAGATCAGAAGGGACCACCTTTTGGAGTTACGCTCCCCCATCACCAGGCAGCACAGCCCCAGCGCTGACAGCACTGCCTCTCTATTCCTCTGGCCAGGACAAGGTCCACAGGACTCTTTTAAAGAGCCTTTCCTCCCTCTCGCCATAATGACCTACCTTGCTACGTTTAAGGCCAAGCTTCCCTTCCCTCCCTGTTGTTCTGTGTCCTGTGCTCCAGATTAGAGATGCCGAGTTCCATTCACTCAAACCTCTCTCAGAAGTGCTTAGTCACTGATCCGGCCACGTGGCATCCGCTTTCCCGTTGTGGGTCTGGTATGTTAACTAAGAAACTTATTTTCCAGCCTAGTTAGAAACAGCAGGAACTTGAATTGACTTGCTAGACTGGCGGCGCTGGAGGAGTTATGGCCACGTGCCAAAGGAAAGAGTTGATGGCCAATCACCGGGAGCAAATTTCTCAATCTGTAGCCTGAGACTAAACCTTCCCGCTGGCGAGGGAGTTCTATCTTAGGCCTTTGCTGCCAGATTCACACGGGGAGATGTCCTGTGACTTCACGGTGGCTCCACATGCAGATTCAGGAGAATCGTGAACCACCATTTTTTTAGGGATAAAAATCCAGAGGAAAGAGGGTTAATCCTAAAGATAGCAGACAAGATCCTGAAGAGACAGTAAAGATGAGAGGAGACCAAAAAGTGCCAGACATGGCAAAGTTAAGGGACAGAAAACCAGATCTTGGGGTAGTAGGTGCCAGGCTAGCAGGTCTGAGGGCTGGCCCTGGGCCCGCGCTGCTGCTGCGACTGCTACTACCCTGCCCCCCTTTCTTAGCCCAGACCCCGTCCCAGCTCCTACCTGGTAGGTACCTGTCGTGGCTGTGGCTGTACTCTGTGGTGGTGAGTGACAAGTGAGTCTGTGTAAAGGGCTGGTTGCCAAACAGATTGTCACTGTGAAGGTTGTGGCAGAGTTTCTCCAGGAAGCGGAGGACGTAGGTGATGCTGTTGACGGCTGGGAGGTTGAGGGTGTGCTGCTCACGGTCAAACACGGCTGTGGAGTTAAGCGAACAGGGCTGAGCGCGTCAGCTCCTCAGCTCAGCAGTGCAGGCAGGGCAGGAGGAGTCCAGCCCACTGCTTGCCTCAGGCTTCCCTGCTTACACAGAGGCAATCGGTGCCCAGGTTTCCTCCCTCCTTCCCCTCCCCTCCCTCCCTTGAGGGTTTGATTTTTGCCTCCAACTCCAGGGCTTGCAATGATGGGAGTGGCCAGGGCAGGTCTGTTGCACCTGGGGCTCTGGAATGATTTTACTTAGCCTGTGAAACAACTGAACGTAATTCTATCTGCTCCATCAGTTGGCTGGGCCTCCTCCAGGAAATCTGTTCATTTGGGGTTCCATTTCCATAAGAATTGCCCAAGAACAGAGAAGCTGGGCAGAAGAGGAGAATACAGCTATTGCCAGCAGTGGCTGAGGTGTACAATCTGATCTGGATAAGGGCAACTAGAATTTCGGCAACATGTGGAACTATTCCATGCCTGTTTTATTTTTAAAGTCCCCACCTATTTCTATTCAAAATGTATCTGTATAATCCTTAACAAGCAAAAGGCCTCTACATCTGTCTCTGAGGGCAGGAAGGAAATGGGGAGATAGGTCATTCTCAGGAACCAATTTTGGGACAGAGGAAGAACCCTAGAGAAGGTGTGGGTGAGAGCTGCTAAAGAAAAGTGGTAAAGAAAGCCGGGTCCCTGTAGACTGCTGCACAGAAGCAAAGGAGAGGCCAGGCAGAGGCTTCAGCCTCAGAAGGAAAGGGAGGCTTGATTTCCCATGCAGTTTTCAGCCTTTTATAGCAATTCCCTCCCTGCCTGCCCCCATCCTTCATGCAGCCAATTACTCCCTCATCCGGGCTCCCACACCACCCTGCATGCGTTTCTCACATATTATATAACACCTCCCACAGTTAGCTGTGAGCTAGTCTTTCTTTTCCATCAGGGCAGAGCCTGAGCATGTCATCTTCTTTTCTTCCCTTCCCCTGGCCAGTGTCTGGCAATAACCTCTTAACACAGAGTAAGGACTCAATGAATGTTTGCTAAAAGGTGGTATTTATGGGGTCTTCCATGTCAGCTGGGTTTCCTGAGGCTGGATACTGCAACTAGTTAGAGGGCAGGGGCAGGAGATTACGGAGTAGTGCACAATTAAGACCGAAAGGCTGGGGCTTCCCTGGTGGCGCAGTGGTTAAGAATCCGCCTGCCAATTAAGAATCCGCCTGCCAATCTCACTCTCTCACAGGTGAGAGCCCTGGTCCGGGAAGATCCCACGTGCCGTGGAGCAACTAAGCCCATGCGCCACAACTACTGAGCCTGTGCTCTAGAGCCCGAGAGCCACAACTACTGAAGCCCGCACGCCTAGAGCCCGTGCTCCGCAACAAGAGAAGCCACCGCAGTGAGAAGCCTGCGCACCGCAATGAAGAGTAGCCCCCGCTCGCCGCAACTAGAGAAAGCCCACATGCAGCGATGAAGACCCAACGCAGCCAAAAATAAATAAATAAAGTAAATAAATTTATTAAAAGACAAAAAGATTGAAAGGCTCTAGGTCAAGTCTTCACAGGTTTGGTGGGTAAGAATGGGGTTTTGGACTTAGGAAAACTGAAACAGAGCAGGGCACAGCAGAAAAAGTGACTATTCTCAGTGAACACAAACCAACCAAAAAACCATACTCTGTGCAACTGACTCAAACTCTCATAGCAGGAAAGAGAGGGATGATTCTTCCCACTCTGCCCTGAGATTCAATTCCCTTGTATCAGGGCTGGCTTAGGACTGGGAAGCTAAGGAGTCAAAAGAATGGGAGAAGGGTTCTGTGGTTCCCTGAAGCCAGCTAGGAGGCTATGGCAGTCTGGAGAAACTCTACTGTTTCCACAATACAGCCTCCTCTGGATTTTTTCTCGTGATCATCTTTAAAGCAACGCAGCCACATATTTTCTGTATGGGAGAGGCTAGGCAGGGAGACAGAGTCTGCGTGGGTATTCTACTTGGCAGTGATATGCAGAAGACCTGGAGGGGCTCTGGGAGTTGAAAATGAGGACTCTCTGAGAAATGGAATACTTTCATATTTCTCCAGAGCCTACAGGTGTGAAGTAGAAACCAGGATGCCTTGCTAGAAATTAGCCAGTTGAAAAGGCCCGCCCCTCTGACTAGGAGCCATACCAGCCCAGGGGCACTTACCTGAGATAACTGCGCCACCGTGACCCTGTTTGAGGAAGCCGAAGACGGTTTTCTGGTGATAAGCACAGTCGATGCAAGCCTGCACAGCCTGCTGCAACACCACGGAGGCTTGGGCTGGCCCAAAATGGTCAGGGAGCTGCTGGACCTTCTTCTTATCTAAGTGGGGGCCTGTGCTGCCATTCTTGTTCAAGTAAATGCAAACTGCAGGAGACAAAGAATCAAAGCAGCTTATAGAGTATCCAGGGTAGAGAAGTCAGACAACCGTGCTCTCCTCGTCTTTCATACCCCGGCTCTGGTCTCTACAGGATTCCCAGCTGCTAAGCTGTGAAACACCGTGGGAGGGGGTAGAGGGTGGCTGTACCCAGCTGCTGCCAGCCCAAACTGCATGACCAAAGCTCTGGGAACGCAGCCTGCTGGGAGAACAGCCCAGACCAGCCAAGGCACAGAACTTGCACTTTGTCTTCTGTACGCTGAAAAGAAGATCTAAGCAATTTTCCAGATGTATGTACTTTCATTTTCGGTCCTTGGTTGCCTTACATATTCTTGGTACCTCTTACATGCTCTGTGTATGGAGCTGGGGGCTCTGGCAATATTAGTGCTTGTGTGTGTTTGGCTTTGGACTTAAGAGTGGTCAAACCAGCAGTCACTTGCCTTGCCTTCCGTTCTGGGCCTTAGAGTCCCTTTGTTATCTTCTACATCCACACTCAGGCTCAAAGAAAGTAGTGAAAATAGAAGAAAACTGGAATAAAGAAAAACATGCAAAGGACCTGAGGGTCCCACCGATGTATTTCTCTGTTTCAGTAGTTTCTCCTGTCAAGACAGCTGGGCACTCTCCTAATTGCAACCTCCCACCTGCCACTGTGCTAGGGCAGAGGCAGGGCGAGCACGGAAGAAAGAGGCAGTCCTACCCATACTTGCTTCTTGGTCTCCAGAGAGGACCTGCAGCTGCCTGGCCAGCTACGGCATTCCTTCTGCTGACCTGACTTCTAGGCTTCCACTTGAGTAGGGGGTACTCTGCTTCTTCACACTGTCCTGGCTCACTAACTGAAGGGCAGGAGGGCAAAAAGTCTCTTTTGTTATTAAAGGCAAAAAGGTAAGAGCAGTAGCTGTGTGGGCTGTGGATGGACTGCTGTCCTCTTTGGGCCTCAGGTTTGCCATCCACAAAATGGAGGGGCTGAGCCAGATGCTGTCTGAGGATTCTTCCACCGTCGTCCTTCTAAATCTAAGGGGAAGCAAGATGGAGAGAAGAAAACAAAGAGAGAGAGGCAGGATGTGGAAGGTGACGGCTGAAAAAGAAAGAAAGGAAAACAAAGAAAAGGGTAAACAAGATGCATTGAAATATATATTTAACTCTTTTTTCTCTTAAAACCCACTAAAATGAGCCACATAACAAGAAAGGAGACAACTTAAAATTCTGGAAGCTGGAAAGCAGAGTGACAAAGTAGTAACTGACTCAGCAGACCCAAGAATGCTGAATCCTTAACCAAGAGTGGGGAATGATGAGAGCCAAGCTGCTCCATCTTATAATTCACAAAAGGCCCAAGAATGGGCAGGGGCCCCTGCAGGTCGGTGTGAAGGTAGACTTAATAAAAGAAGAATTGGCTGAAGCCTGTTAAGAAATGGTTAGAATTTCCATGTCATAATATGACTCTTTCATTGAAAACAAAACAAATAAAAATGAGGAACTCAAAGAGAAAAGAGTAATGAAAATAAGTGAAAACATTATGTGGGATCTTCCCGGACCGGGGCACGAACTCGTGTCCCCTGCATCAGCAGGCAGTGAAAAGACACTTATTAAAATGTTCATAGCAGGTTAGTCATAATAGCCCCAAACTAGAACCAACCCAAATGTCCATCAACAAGAGAACAGATATACAAATTGTGGTATATTTATTTACTGGAATACCACTTGGCATTAAAAAAGAATGAACTATTGACGAATGCTTCTCAAAACAATATTTTGAGTGAAAGAAACCAAAAACAAAATAGTACACACAATCTGATTCCATTTATACATTAATTTCAGGAACAGGAAAATCTAACCTATGGTGACAGAAATCAGAATAAAGGTGAGAGTGAAGGCTGACCGTAAGGAAGCATGAGGCAACATCCAGGGTGGTAGAAATGACTCTTATCTTGACTGGGGCTGTGGCTACATGGCTGCTTATATTAATTAAAACTCATCAAATTGTATATTAAGATATGTACATTTCACTGTATGTAAATTTTACTTAATTAAAGCACATAAAAAGGAAAAAATATAACCAGTTCAGTGATGATTTAAAAAAAAAATTCTATATGGATTAAAAGGGTGAAATAGGGCTTCCCTGGTGGCACAGTGGTTGAGAGTCCGCCTGCCGATGCAGGGGACACGGGTTCGTGCCCCGGTCCGGGAAGATCCCACATGCCGCGGAGCGGCTGGGCCCGTGAGCCATGGCCGCTGAGCCTGCGCGTCCGGAGCCTGTGCTCCGCAGCGGGAGGGGCCACAACGGTGAGAGACCCGCGTACCGCAAAAAAAATAAATAAATAAAAGGGTGAAATACAAAAGCCAAAGGATAAAACCTTCCAAAGACTGTGATTCCCAGATTCTTTGACATTCCTTCCACTGATCTCTGTGATACTTGACCAATAAACTATGGTGGAAATGACACTGTGCCAGTTTCTGGACCCAGGTCTTAAGAAACTGGCAGTTTCCACTTCTTCTTTCTTGGGACGTTCACTCTTGGAACCCAACTGGCATGTGTGAGGAGGCAAAGCCACACTGTGGCGAGGTCCATATGGAGAGAAAGCAACAGCCAGAGCCAACCTGTCAGCTCTGTGGTGGAAGTGGATCCTCCAGTTGGGGTCAAGCCACCACAGCTGACACTGCAGGGAAGAGAGACCAGCTTTTGCCACCCAGCACTGCCCACATTGTTGTTTTAAGCCATAAAGTTTCATAGTGGTTTGTTATGTAGCAAAAGATTACTGGAACAGAATGTGGTATCAGAAATAGGGTGCTACAGTAACAACATGTGACATTGGCTTTGGGACTTGGAAGCAGAAAGAAGCATAAAAGGCCACAAAAAGAATGTGAGTGAAGCTGAAAGGGCCTTGAATAGAAGCCTGTAAAAGGTTGGGGTCTAAAGGATTCTGTACTAGTCTATTTTGCACTATCTCTGCCGCTATTAGTCTGAGGTGGCAATGCTTCCACCAGAATGAAACTTGGTGGGTTTTCTATGAACACTATTGAAATTTACTTCATTAGCTAAAAGCCACAATCACAAATCTCTTGAAGATAAGACCTTCTCTACTTTGGGCTTCCTGTATAGCTGCTGTGAGACAATGCCCTTAAGATTCGTAAAAATCTTACTGTTTAAGGAAGAGTATCTGTGAGACTTGCCCTTACGATTTTTATAGGGCCTTTTGGTCTGAAGGAGACTATGAAGCATAGTCTTAAATCATTCTGACATCTTAACGAAAGATTTTTATTGTCCCATTCTGGATTTGACCCTTTCTTAATTTAGAACTATTTGCCTTCTGGAGAGATTGGAAATGAGAAGCATTTCCAGACTGTGAGTCCTGGACTTTTTTATTTGCTATGTTTTTTTTTTGAAGCTCATCTCTCTCATCTTACATTTTTATCATAGGCAGTGAGAAGCCAGGTGGCACTTCATTACTTTGTCTGGAAATCTCCTTATATTTCACTGAGTTCATCAGGTACATTTCCTAGTTCCATGTTACTGCAGGTGACAGTGTTATCAGACTTTCCATCACTACCTAGCAGGTGTCTTCCAATAAGATTTTCCTCACTTTCCTTTAAGCCCTCACTGACAGCCTTCTTAAGACCATTCAGGCTTCTATTCTCAAGTTTCTAAGAGAATCATTCTGGCAGAAGCATTGCTAGCTCAGATTAAAAGGGGGCAGAGATGGTACAAAATGGAAAGAATTCTTTGGACCCCCAACCTTTTACAACAAGGAGGAAGACTGAGAAGGCAATCTCAGGTTTCCTATGGAAAAGGAAAGATGATTCAGAGGACAAAACCAAAGAGCCATGCAAACAACTCCCGGAAAGTAGTATTGGATCTAATTAAGGAACTGGCAACATATGCCCAGCTGGATTTCAGAATTTCTATAAACCAGTGACTGCTATGTGCCTCCAGGTTTTTTCCCCTTTGAATGAATGTATCTATAAGTTATCCTATGCCTACCCCATCACCGTATGCTGGGTATGTGGGGAGTAGACAACATGTTTCTTTAGGTCACAGGTCTTCGGTCTGAGAAGAATTACACTCAAGGAGCTATATCTGAGAAACTGCATCTGAGAGGTCTCATTTGTACCTGGATCTGACTTAGATGATGAGATGCCAGATCTGGAGCCCAATGTTGTAAAGGGATGAGACCTTTAATGGGGAGTCTTGCAAGGGGAAGAATAAATTTTCCAAGTGGTAAAAATGTAAATAACTTATGTCCAGAAAGTGGACTGAGGTGGTTTTAAAATATGGTCCATAATTCTTTGACCCTCTTCCCAGCAAGATAGTGGGGTCTACTCCCCTTCTCTTGAATCTGGGCTCTGTGACCGCTTGATCAATAGAATATGATGGGAATGATGCTCTGTTGATTTGGGGGCTCAAGCCTTAAGAAAATGGTAGCCTCCACTTCCTGTTTCTTGAGACACTTGCTCTTAGAATCCTGTCACCCTGGGATGAGGAAGCCCAAGATACCTTTTGGAGGCATCCGTGCACAGAAGAACCAACGGCCAGCACCAATTTTGTTAGCCGCATGAATGGATCATCTTGGAAGTGGATCCAATAGCCCCAGTTGAACCACCTCAACTGATGCTATGTGGAAGAGAGATGAGCTGCCTCTGCTTTAATTATAGTACAGTCGAATATACAGATATTACCTTTTCCAGGAATATAAAGGTTATATACTTTTTCTAATTTATGCTTATTCTCTTATTTTAAAAATCCTTCCCAATCTTAAGGTCATAAAGATATTTTTGTATATTGTCATGTTTTTGGTTTTCTACTGCATCCATGATATCAGAATTAGAGGCTGAAGAAAAGATTCAGAGAAGGGTCCAGTGTGGAAGGAACTTGGAAGTAGCCACTTCATCCTGACAAGTAAAAAGCTGAACAACCTGCAAAATCATCTATCCTTTTTAGATCCATCAGAGAACTGAGGTCACAGGGCAAACTGCTGCTCCCCACCAAGAGACAGAC